GCTCCAGCTGCCAGTGCATTCCGCAGTAGGTCTATATTGGGCGAAAAATCATGGGTCTTCGCTTAAGGAGTCCCTGTACTGGGGCTTCTATAGTCCCAGGTCTTGCAGGCTGCATAGGGATGTGAATTCTGATCGCACGCTATGGTGAGGCAGAGGCCTCTGCAGCAGCTCTCCTTGAAGCTAACAAAGCTGGCGGGGTGCTCAGTTGTTGAGCAGGGAGGATTCATGAGAAAGCCAACTACAGGGTGTGTAGGTCATCTTGATTCAGATTCCAGTCCAGGCCTCAAGCTGAAAGACCTTGATGAGAAAGTCGTCAGACACAATCGGGAACATTGGCTAGGCCTTGAGTGCTTGCAGGAGCTGCAAGTGAATTCGTGCCATTTGTGCCAATTTAACCTTGCAGCCAAATCCGTCGGGCTTTGTCTGCTGACTTCAGTATACTTTCTTGAAAGAGGAGAAGGTTGGAGACCTCTCATCTACGCAGAGGGCATTGTACGATGAGCTGGCAGCCAGCACCAAGAAGGACCTTAATCATTAATCCAGCCATGTATATTGATCACCAGAAACATATAACGCTCTATAACTCTCCCTCTCTCTCCCTCTCTCTCCATCTCTCTCTCTCTTTCTCTCTCTCTATATGTATATAGCCCTAAACCTTGCGGTGTGAAATCGTGCGTGTGGAGGACCTGTCAGCTCTCCGGGAGCACATTGATGATTTGTCTCTGAAATGCCAGGACTGGGGATAGTCAAGCTTGCCCACAGAACATGCATTTAATTAGTTGAGGGTAGAAGCGGGGGAGAATCACCGAGAGCAAGACTTAGAAGGAGTCTGCACACTTGTTTCTGGCAGGCCCTGGCTGACTTGGTGGCGACAATTCGCACTGAGGTTGGGCGGAAGGCCCAGCCCAGCCAAAGCAGCCTCAGCACCCTTCCTCTGATGGAGTCCTATCTTAGCCCTACGTCGCCTACTTCTTGGTCGGCCAAAGAAGAATATGTGATATCCAGAGCCTCTGTTCAAGTCAGCGGAAGCAAGAGCAAGAACAACTATGACACGTGTATGACAGGACAGGCCATTGCGGTTACCAGTCTTCTCGTGAAAAAACTGCTTAAACCCTTGCAAGGCTTCCCATGAGCAGCTCGAGGATCTCGAACATCAGCAGTGCAAGGCGATTCAGATTGGCAATCTGCAAGAAGCTTTGTGAGTGTCTAGTCCCCTGCCCTAATATCAAACCCGCGCACCTCCTAATACTGAATATTTCTAATATTTTATTTTGAGAGTATTCAATATTCGGGGGTGTGGGGGGGGTTCATATGAAGGGGATGGCATTAACGATTTCTTTTCTCACTGTCTCTCTGAAGGGCTCATGGTCGCAGCTACGTGCCAGCCATGAAGTTGTACAATGCTGTCCCTACTGGTGCCAATGTGGCATTCCTATCGACTTTGGCATGCTCATACCAAGAGTGACCGCTCAATTGGAAGGCGTTCGAACGCTTCCTCGGCCGATGGGAGCGCTGCGCTGAGGCTTCCGAAGATGTCGTAGGGGAGGAATGATTCCCCTTCAAAGACCAGCGCATTCCTCAGCCCTGAACGCTTCTGCGCACCTAGCTGCTACCAATCGTTGATGGGGCATGATTGCAGGCTATATGCGTGCAAAACATTGGGAGGTGCGGCGAAGGGCAGTGCATGCGGTACAGGAGGAGGTGATCAGCGCACTCGGTGAGGCAGCGGGGCAATGAGTCGATTGTTCTTGGTGTATGACTTGAAATCCGATTGAGTCGAACCACTGCTGGCACAAACTCCTCGAGCTTGACGCGTCCCGCCTTTGATCTTAAAGTTGCTATATCTCAATGACGCCGGCAGTTATGTCCGTAACACCTAGCTACAGCTTTGATGGCTTTGCCTTCCAGCGGGCCGGGAACAATGCTTGAGACATAACCAGGTAAAAGCCATGTTACATGCTATGTAGCCATGCACCTTGTTATGGTACATGGTTATCCTCGTGCCTTTTGCGGCCCATTCCGTCTTGAACCTGAGCCCTTTATAATGTTCCGCGGGTAGCCATACTCCGCCGTGTATCTTATTTTCATGCGGAAGTTTGAAAAGTGAAAGTGTCCCCGCTTGCCATGATCGATATCAAAGTTCCAAGCAGCATTTGCATAGATCTTTGCCTTGCTGTCCAGCTTGGAAAATCATTGCAAATAATGCTGGTTCTGATCCTTTCCCAAAGGTGCAGAGGCCTTCCAGGACTTCGGAGCAGCAGCCAGCCTCTCCCCAGGTTGGGCCTACTTTGCTGGGTGCGCTCCACCGAGTTCTGTATCCAAGACGAAGACATTTGAAAACACGTTTGACTAGAGAAGTCCCATTAGGCTTGAGGCGTGTTGACTTGGTTTTATGGAAGAAAGTTTCAGCTGTGGCTCAAGTATACTTTGCAGTGTAAGCCAGTTTGTCAAGTCTGCATGACCTCCCTGCAGGCAGCGCAAGCCAGCTCTGTGGCTCACATGGAGTTGCAGCGGCAAGTGGATGAACTCAAGGCCTGGGAATGTTTGAAAGCCTTCCAGGTCTCTTGCTGCTTTCCGGATCCATGGTTTGAACGCGGGCTTGCCAACAGGTTTTCCTTACAGCTGGAATTATTTTTCGTATTTCATGAGGCCATGCAACGCCCTTGCTGAGGCAAACTTACGCTCAGCTGTTGCGTCGGCAGCCAGTGCCAATCGTCCCTTGGCTTGTGCCCAAGGAATAAGACATAGGACAGGGAGTTCGTCAGGGCTCTACTTGGCAAGCAGCAGTTCTTTCCGACACTGGCGAGTGCACAGTTTCAAACCCTGAGCCCAGACCAGGCTTGGAGGATGTTTGCCGGGTGCAGACTGAGCTGAAGCGGGAGATGTCTTGCCTCAAAGAGGAAGTGTCCAACAAGGCCCAGTGTGTGCCAAGCAGCACATCATGTCACTGAATGCATTTCGAGTATGACCGAACCATCAAGCCTGGAAAGAGACGTGACAGCACACAACTCACCTCTGCAGTTCCCGCTAGTTCTTATTGCTCAGCGACAGAGGCTAGCAATTCCATTGCAAGCAAACGTCGAGCTTAGGCAAAGTTCACTTGTGTTCTGACGTTTCCAAAGATTCACGGTTTTCAGTGTCCATAGGCGCGGCAGCCCAAGCTGGAGGGCATGATCGAGGCCGCGTGATTTATGTGTAGGATCGGCCTATGCTTTTAACAAGCTGCCTGGCTACTTCACTCAAACAGGCCTACCATCCCCAGAAAGGATTGAGATGGTATCCAAACAATGGCATACATGCACAGAATGCGTCGAGGGTTAGACCAAGCGTTTGGCGGAGCATATGTCAAAATCCCAGGCTCGAAATGCATGGCTTTCAAGGCTAGGCAAAAGCAGTTTGATGATTACGGGCTTTGGCATCAAAACACATCTCTGCCATTGCTAGGCACGCACAAAGTCCGAGCACTGGGAGCAGCGCTACCAGTCCCTTTCTGCCACTGTTGCCTGGCAGTCCATGGAGTTGCAGCCCTCTACCCGAAAGAAGACGCTCACAACCGCACCCATTTAGAATGAAGCAGCGTGATAGTCGAACCTCAACTTCGGCGTCTCATCCAGGTGCGTGTAGGATTACTTCCAGGTATCTAATTCTTGAGCCTAGAGGCATCCTGTTGAGGGACTAGTTTCCATGTTCTTTTCAATTTTTCCCGAGAAAATCTTTCTTCAACATAGTAGTTTGTATTTCTTTTCCATTATATCCCCAAACCCAATAAACCCTCAACCCCAACCCCCCAGATACTCCCCACAAGTATTCCTAAGCCGCATATACCCTAAACCCTAAATCCCTAGTGCTGGTTCGGAGCGTGCCGCTGCGACGGTGTCTGGAGGTGAGTGACAATTATGATGCAAGTTGCATGCTGTCAGTTTAGCAGTTTAGCTGTGATGAGATCAACTGTGCTGTTGTTTCGATTGGGGCGTGTAGTGCTTACCGGTAGAGGAAGGCTGAGTGCCTCCAAAGTGGGGCCTCCTGGACCGGACAGTCGTTGCCGTGCCTGCCTTGTGCGATGCACGTGTTTAAATCCCTAGATGCTCCCTAACTATGCCTTAGCCCCATACACCCCAAATCCCTAGATGCTCCCTACATAACTAGTCCTAAGCCCTGTAAAACCTAAGCTCTAAACCCTAAATCCCTAGATACTCCCTACATAACTATCCCTAAGCCCTATAGACTGTAATTCCTAAATCCCTTTAAAGATCGAGAAGTGTGCCAAGCGAAAAATCCCTAGATCTTCCATAACTATCCCTAAGACCTATTAACCCTGAGTGCCAAATCAGTACATATTTCCTACATAATCCTTATGGACCCCTGAGGTTGATAGCCTCAAGTCAGGCCTGGAGGCTCGGTTCTAACTTACATAGGAGGTTATATGGAGTATGTAGGTATGTAGGGACACAACTTACATAGGAGGTTATATGGAGTATGTAGGTATGTAGGGACACTCATTAAGGGGGGTTAGATATGGGATTATGTAGGGTTTAGGGTCCAAACTCCTTAAAGTTTAGGGTCTAAACTCTTTAAAGGGCGCTAGATGGGGGATTATATATGGTTTAGGGTTTAGGGTCTAGATCCCTTGAAGGGGGTTAGATTGGGGACTGTATAGGGGAGTGTTATAGGGGTCAGTGAGGGGGATAATGGGAGTTTAGACTGGAGCTCACATAGGGGAACATGGCAAAGCACATGGAAACTACCATATCATTTATTCTGGGTTTATTTAGGGAATAAGGGAAGGCAAAATGGAAACTACTATGTTAACTAGGGATTACCTAGGAAAAATGGAAAAGAACATGGAAACTACAATGTTATCCTGGGTGCATGTAGGGAATAAGTACCAGGAAAGGGAGATTGCATGAAGATTCCGGGCATCCGTGCTGTCATCTACATTGTTGTCCCTACAGTCCATCCCCTTCTGTTCAAAACGTTGAGAGAGATCAGACTGCCAACCCTTAATCCATTCCTTAATCACCGGCTGTACTGGGCAATGCTTGTGGCAGGTCATCCGCAGAAGTACCAAAGAGTCTTCTGACACGAAGGAACAGGTCGCTGGGTTTGTTTGCTTCGCCATGCTGCAAGGATTCACTTGATTGAGAGGACGATTGCAGTAGTTCTAACGTACAACAGCTCGAATCCAATGATGCGACATCGTGTTTCGCACCTGACCCAAATGAGGCCCAAGTCAGGCCAGCCAAGCATGGCCCGTTGAGGTTGGAACCACTTTGGATGACACGCCGTCAGGTTCCTGTGAAGATGGCTGTGACCCCCTAGGTTTCCTTAGGCACATGCATAAACACAACTCCAGGAGCCAACCCTTTGAAAGAAGGGACCCCCCATTTTTTAGTATGTTGTTAAGGGGGGTGGGTCCAAGGAAGGTAGGTATTGGGGAAACTTTAGGGAACCTTGCGGAGTTATATAACCCCATATGATCTATCAATGGTAACCCTAGTAGGCGACCCTTCAGAGTGGACGTAGGCGTCCACCCTGTAGTTTAGTCTAGTCCCTAAAATATTTCCTTACAAGGAACCCATGTCCATTAATATCTGGGTAGTAAACCCGCATATAATCCCAGTGTCCATTTCATTTCCCCTTTTCCTTTCCATTTGATTCTCCAGTATTGGGCTAGTTATATTGGGAAAGTAGGTCATATAGTCCAAGACGCTGGCGATTGCACAAGTCCAGCAGCAAAACAGGTCATATAGTCCATCCCAGGTAAACCCCCATTTCCCCATGTATCTCCATCATTGGGATACTTTTCCTACATAGCCCATAGTCCATACATCCCATGGTGCAGATCGCAGGCTTTGTTGGATGGTTTGCGCCTCCGCGCAGACGCCTGCGCTGAAGGTTTGGCCTCTGAAGTTCGAATCCGAGAGGCCTGGCCCTCCCAAACAGGAACAATCAGAGTCTGAGCTCCTTAGAGGGGGTTATATCGGGGATGATATAGGGGACTACTGTAGGAGTTATTAAGGGGGATACGAGGAGTTTGTACTATAGCTCACATCTTAGTAACAGTAGAGGAGTGTATATATTATGGAAACGTTGCAAGAGTACCGCCATAGTAATAGTGATAGTACTAGTAAACAGTCGTAAAACATCATGGAAGGTTTGTGGGTTTGTTAAGGGATCCAACTTGTTGACGCTTGGATGAGCTTCTATCTGGGCGTTGTTTCAACAAGATGTATTGGACAATTCGGACTGCGCCTTGTAAGGTGAAAAAAGCTTATCAGGAGCCTTTGTAGGACCTGGTCGACTTGTTTGGAGCCTCCAAATTTACTGTGCTTCAGGGGGAAAAGCTCTGAGACTTGGAGGCTTCTAGCGAAATTATAATCCAAAACAAGCTGTCAGAAGCCTGGCTTACACTTCCAGACAATATGGCTCGATCATATGAATGTCTCATATGTACACCCCTCACCAATATGCCAACCCTTCATAGTCTTACAACGAACCGTCAAGCCAACATGTCATTCTGCTTCTAAGGGCAGATGTTTTTTTGGACGTATACATACATATTTATGTTAAGGTGCCACACAGGATTTCAACAAAGCCTTATATATATATTGCAAGGGAGTAGAGTTCAGGATCTCTCCTTCTGGCCTGAAGCCTTGAATGCCTTCAGGAAGCCACTCAGCGGCTGGAGGGCCTTCTGCAGCAGACCCGGCGCGAGCTTGAGGCCAAGGTCGAGGCTGTGAGAGGCACGGAAGCCTCAAACCTTGAAATTGGGGCGTATCATGGGGGTGATTAAGGGGGATACTAGGACTTTATATGGATAATCCTATGCATGTTCTGTTTGCTGGGGTTGTGACAAGGGGTGTGTCCGTGTCCTGCCAGCTGCCAGTGCCAGCTGCCAGTCCAGCAAACTGCACCTGACTAGAGTTGGGCCAAAAACTACTTGCCATCTTGAGTAAGCCCCCTTCTGTACATATTTCTGCATTTAGGGTTTCCTGCTACAGCTCTCCTGAATATACCACCGGCAAGTATGCAATGATGGGCGCCTACCCTGCTATAGCCGCGCAAAAATGCATGCGAGCATGCTTCATTCCAGATCCATTGTCTGGAAGCATGGGTGTGGATACCCTGTAGAGCAGTTTACCTGGTGACGACCGTGAGTGCATTGCGCAAGCATGGTGATCCTGAGGCGTTTTGGAGAAACAGCTCAGTGGAGTGCTCGCATCTGTCCGTGGAGAAGCCGGCCGCTGCGACAAAGATCTTCAGATGGAGCTCCAGAAACGACAGGACGCCTAAAGAGACGCAGGAGTAAGACGCAAGAGTAGTCCAAGATCCACAGCCCTTATTATTTATGAATTCTAATAATTCTGCGCTTCTGTGTTTCTACGCGGTGCCACAGGACGCAGAGACTTCGCTTCGCGATCTTCAGTGTGAGATGGTCGAGATGCGCTCCAAGCTGCTCCGAAAGGACGCCTGCAGCGGAGAGATATATGTACACATACATATATATATACATATCTATATCTATATGTACTATAGTCTGAACCCCTGAAAGATAGGGATTATATAGAGGAGCATTATTGGAGTTAGTTAGGGGGATACTAGGAGTTTAGACTAAAGCTCATAAAGGTGTATATATTCTCTTCCCATAAAATGGAGACCCTACCAACTTGCACTTTTATCCTGTGGGCGGAGGGTTCACACTTAGGGGCAGGTGATTCGTCCCCTTCTATGATGGATATTGCTAACTTCTGATTTGTCGCGAAGGAATAGCTCACCCCTTTTCTTTTGCTGAAGCATGTTGACATCTAAAGTCATCCTACACAAGGTCCAGGATGCAGAATCATGGTTGGTGTAGTTGCACCAGGAGTCGCGTGCCCTACCCCTTGCACAGGGAACCCCTAAGCCACATGGCTACAGTACTTGAAAGCAAGAGCTGCGCCCCCCACGGATCTTTGGGATCTTGGTTTGGGAGGAGCATGCCCTCTTGGAGGCCACAGGCTTTCGGGAGCCTGTGAGCGAACCGCGCGCCTGGAGACCTGGCCTTACAGGCAAGCATTCCACTGGCATTGGTCAAGCATAGCCCGTCAGATGGTGGAGGTGCTCTGCTTGGAACACAAGTGTCAGCTGTGGTGTCAACATTCCATAGTTGTCATGGGTCCCTGGTACCTACCATATAAATCCCGCAGCCTGTCAACTGTCAACCTCTATACTGAGTGCGGCAGTTGTCGTCATTCGTTGAAAGAGGCACGCTCTTTGCTGAGCCCACTCCGTCCCGAGAGGCACGAAGCGAGGGTACAGGAGCCCATGCTGAGACCCTATATCATTCCAAGAAGTATTGTACTTGCAGTGCTTGCATGAAAATCCTCATCCTGCTGCTTGCTGATGAACATGACAATGACCCTGCCAGAGGAGCATCAACAAAACAATCATTTCAACAGACCACCGCTACCACCTCCTCTGCTGCGGACACTGCCTTCTCTCCTCGGCCTCGTCAGGACATTCACCTGAGCCACCAGGCAGCCCCTGCAATCCTAGGGCCAGCGCGGCTCCGGCCATGCTGCGGCCGATGCCACTCGGACTTTTCAAGCATGTGGAAGTTTCGCAACATGCTTACTCTTCATATATGGGCAGTTTCCACAAGGAATCCCCGCAACACAGGGTCTTGACTACGGTCGTCCTGCAATCGCTGAAGAAATCTCTCCGTAATCCATTCTCTTCGTGCTAACTTTTACGCGGTCAAAGGCAGGACCTTGCTTCCAACAGTTGTGCAGCTGTGCCCGTGCTGTTGGCAAGGCTAAATCCACGTGTCCAGCAATGGCCAAACTGATGGCTTTTTCCGTTAATGACGAGGGAGTGTCTCCAAAGTTGGGCTCGCTCACGCCCTGGTTCCGTTTGGGAAGAATTCAATAATTAGTTGCGATATTTTTCAGCTTTGCATGGGAACCTTACTTTGAGACACAGCCATGACCTGCTAGCTGCTAGCGCCAAAGCATGCGCTGCAGGAGCAAGTGCAGTCAAAGCGGCTGAGGACCTCAAAACCTGAAACCCCGCCCTGCACCTGCAGCAGACAAAACTGCCGATGCAGCCTGAAGAGATTGCAGCAAGCTGCACATCGGCAAGGTCGATCATGGGCTTGAGCAATCATTCCCCAACAAATTGGGTAAGCACTGTAGTCAATGGCACTGTTGTGTAACTTCGCATGGTAGCAAGAAGGACGCTAAGAGCACCTGCTTTTCAGGTGGCCGTGAACCTCTTGACCTCTCGAGCGCAAGCTTGAGGTGCTGGTGCGCCGTCAGGGTGGATAGCTTTGCCCAGAGATTGTCACTGCTCAGGTCAAGTTTGGTGGTGAGTATCAAGTAGAATTCATGGACCTGCTGGAAGTGCCACTGCCAGTATCTAGCATTTCCTGCTAGCTGTTGTAGTCATTGTCAAACCCCTACCTTGGCTATCACGACCGCCACTGCTGCCACATTGCCACCGCTGCAACTACCACCTCGGCAATTCGTGCTGGCATGCTGGATCATCCAGGAACTGACTGTCAAGCTCAGACTCCTTGCACAACTCAAGAACAATCCATGCAAGCGGTCAAAACTTGAAATATTCTACAAATTGTAGCGACCTTCGTGGAAGAATGGGGGGCTTCAAACATTTACCAACAGTACTGCTTTCATGATACCAGGATGCCTCACCCCTAATACCCGCAGAAACTCCCCTTCCAAAGCTTCACTTAAGCTTTATACATCCCTTTTCCTGGGTTGCTGTTGATGAGAAATTAAGTTACAAATTATAGGGAGGAAGCCCTGTCATTTAATATATACCCATATTATGGTAACTTAATTTAAGTTCCTTAACAGCAACCTAGTGGATCCCTCTTCCTGGGAGCCCATGGATGCTCCCCAATGGCTGCAAGAAGCGTATCCGGGCAGTCGGGGTCCCAGCGGCATTTTTCGGAGTTCCGGAACACTTCTCAGGGATGGTTTTGGGTGGAGCGGTTTAGGAGGCCACCCATGATCTCATTGGCTCAGGTGTAAAAGGATAAGGCGGCTCCAGAGTTACAGCACTCTGAGAAACCCATTGTGTCGTGCCAACACTGAACAACCACATCCGCTTGTGGCCTGCCTGAGCAGTCGAGGCCCTGATACAGCTTCTCAAGTTTCTGTCACCATGCGCGTAAAGATATTCACGAAGTCTTTCTGGATTCAGTGCCAACTAACATGTTAAAGCACATCCCGAAAAGTCTGTCATTTAACCCTAATGCAAAAGCCGTGATTCATAGGAGCCCCAGCTGAGGAGTGCTTGTTATGTTGCCTGACCTGACACACTTGCCCAGCTTCAGGACTATGGCGAACCCTCCGGTGCTGCTCCCTCCGCGTTGAAGGCAAGGGGCTGCGGCGTAAATCTCAAAGACAGCACATGGGGCCCGTCGAAGCATGCACGATTTGGTTATCATCCTGCACAGCATCAATAGCGGAGGCACGAAAGCTTTGGGACAGGTCAGGTGGTTGATGCTGAGTTCCTACTAATACAAACCTAAATTGTGTGAATGGCACCCTGCGCGCCTCCTCGCAACCTTTGCCTTTAACGACAAAGACAAAGCACCACCTAAACCCTGTCCACTGAAGCCCTTTGCAAGATGGCGCTGGGCTGCACTTGGCAACTACGGAACTAGGTTTCTCGGACAAGATCAGCGACCGCAAGAAGAATGGGAAGGAACTGAGTGCAGTTGGGTTTGTGGATGGGAGCTTCCTGACCAAGGCACCTGAAACAACGCGTCGTTTACAAGGATGCCTAATTTTTCGGGCTTCAGGGTCTACCTCGGACAAACTCCGAGTGTTTGTGAAAGCCTCCATTGTCCTACAAGATATCAAGACCTATCGGACCTATCGAGCGCTGAGGATATCTCGTGGAGGCTGTGGACGGGCTACCGCCACAGGATGAAACGCTTACAGCTGGAGCCATCATTGTGGCGATTTCGGGCGTACAGCTGACGCTGGGCTGATTCAGATCGATCATGCCATAGGAGGGGGAAGCCATCGCGTTTGTGTAGCACCAGCATAGTTGGCATAGCAAATCTGGCTTGTCCATGCCGACACCTTGTCACAGACTGAGGTTTGGCCTCTCTGATGATGCTTTGGAGGATGCCTTCGGCTCCCACTTCCAAGACGGGGCAAAGCTGCTCTTGCTGGATTCGGAGGTTCGAACGCATGAAGCCGCCAAACAAGGGGCTGGGGATGGCTGGGGAAGGGAAGCCATGCGGCCAGGAGCTACGCAGAGCCACCGTGGAGAGAGACTCGCAAGGCCGGATGATGCCCTCCCTCGCTATTCTTCGACCAGTCTCATCTAACAGAGACTCTTGCACATGCGCCGCTTTCCTGCCGCAACCCGCAAAAGGTGAGTGCCCGTGCAATGAAGCAGACGAGGATGTTGAAGAGGATGTCCGCCAAGCGGAGCAGGACTTCCGTCGATTCCTCATAATCCACTCTCTTTTTCTCTTCTGCATCTCAGCATGTTGTTGAATTGATTCTTTTCTTGCAGGAGCCGGAGGTCCTGGAACATGGCAGCGTCATGAACCTCCGCCTATGCCCCGCAACGAAGCTGCGGGAGCCGCGGGGACTTTTTTCGGCTGAGTCTAGTGGGTCTAGTGAGGGCTTGCTCTTCCAGAGGACCTTGCTCCTGATGTGCGCGCTGCATTGGATGATGACTTGCAAACATTCGCGGCCCTTCGCGAGCTGCGGGCGTCTTGGGCTTGATCTAGCCTCATACGTTGTATTCCTTATAATCAGTAACCCCATATCTAGCATTTGCCGTTCTCCTTTACATCTGAATTGGATTCTCCACTTGAGATCCCATTGCCAGCATTGCTGGCAAGCAAAGAGTGCTGGGGACAGGTCGAGTTGCACTGCCCGGAGGCAACCACAGCATCTGCAAGGCCTGGCTCCGTGAAATGCAGGCAATGCAGGCTAATTGGCCTAACGCTGGGTCACTGACAGTGTAGAACCAGGTCAGAAGCCACTGCATATTTTCCTATCAGAGGATGTCGGAGCTTTTTAGGGCTTCTTGCGATCCCTTTTATTCAATTGAGCGTTCAGCCGCTCAAACCGGATCAGGCTGACACTTTGTGGCGTGCCAGAAGACGTGACGAGTTCCAGAAGCGAGGCAGAGGAACTCATGAGGCCGGAATGCGCTGGCTTGCTCCCTACGCATTCATGAACTGATTCTCGATAAAGGTTCTATGGCCTGCTTCCTGTAGCAGAGGAGGTGAGCATGGTGGAGGCTGGGCAAAAGATTCTTGCTTGCTTGAACGAAAGCACTTGGCAAAGCATGAAGCCCTGAGAAATCTTTTCAGCACCCTGTGGTGCACGAGGTGGACGGCCTGGTGATGCAGTCGCTGCCGGCAAGGCATCGACGCAGGCGCAAAGCGCCGGAAGCAGCACCTGAGGAGAAGGCGCCGTACACTCGTAGGCACGACCGGCCTCGCTTAGCTCGCTTTGCGGAGGCCAGCAAAGCTCCCATCCTAGAGCTGGCGCAAGTTCCGGTTGAAGCTGGCACCAATCCAGAAGCTCTTGCAACAGCTGCCCTGCCCGAAGAGCGGAGGCAGTTCGAGTACTTGGACACTCAGATTGTAATCTCGTTCAATGGCGCATTGTTCGGCAACACCTTGGCACGTCTTCGGGCCAAGGACCATACAGCGGATGTGAATCTTCATTCTTGGGGCCAGACTCTCGAGGAAGCCTTCGAGCAATGCAGCGCTTCTCGTCGATTTTCTTGTCATCAACCTCTGCCTGAGATTCTCTGTTCTCTGCAGCATCTGCTGAGGTATGTTTCTTTGCATACCTGACCGACCTGGACACAGTGAGCCTCTCGACTTCGGTGGAGGTCGAGGCATCTGGACACGACATGACGGACTTGCTGTACCACCTGCTGGATGAGCCTCAGCCCGAGACGCCATGGTGTTTCAGACACGACATGACTTGCAGGGCAATCTCTGATTGAAAGGCCTCAAGAGGATAACAAATAAACGGTATTTCTACCATAATGCTGCTTGGGGCTCAGAGGATACATGGGATCAGCGCTCGCGAGCTTAATTAGCTGTACTCTAATGCTTCTTGCCGCAAAGCTTGCAAGACCTGTCCGAAAAGGTTCCTCTTCAGCTTCAGCACAGAGTTTGTGGTCTGTCGACGCGTGGAGATCATGGAGCTTGACATTGTGAATCTGCGGGTGAAAGCTCGCGGCCATGGAGAGCCGCTGGGAGACAGAAAGTAGCAAGATTGGCGGTGAACTACCATCTTTTCATTCTCTACGTCGTTATGCGGCTCTCTGGGGTTTGCTCAGTTGCACGCCAGCCAGTTCGGTAATTCTGACTCGTGGTGCCTGGGGAAAGAAGAGCCTGATCATTTGTATTTATAGCGCCATGGAACGATGAGTAGAAGTTGTACAGGACATCTCCGGCAGGACAATGTCATCTCTTGCCCACGTCAAGCTTGCCCCTTCAATAACATGAGATTTCCCGTCAATCTACGCAACAGACACCGACGCCATTGAAACAGCCAAAATGTACGTTACTTTAGATGTGCAAACTTGGCGCAACATGCTTCCTTGATGCCTGCGTGCAACTCAGCAGATGCAAAACATCAGCCCTGTCCGATGACCGTTGGTTGCCCGTAATTCATGCATAGCGCGCCCAAGGAAGTTCGATCTCAAGAAGCATCCGCAAGGGACGGAGATCAAGGTCCCGAGCTTTAATGATTGCCTTGGGTAAATTCAGGCAGAGACTTGCAAAAGGAAGCCGGTCTGTGAAACTCAGGCCATCACAATGCACCAGATGAAGGTCCTCACGCCGACAGAAGTGACCACAGAGACGGGAACGCAGCCCCGAGTGGCCTGGCTGAGGCCACTGGCTGTCACTGGCTGCTGGAAACGGGGGGAAGCGGGTGCTTTAGTCTACACGTTCTGTGCTCTGCTTTACTTTCCGAGCCAAGGTTGAGTGTTCACCAGATTGGGGCACTATCACTGCCAGCTACCCCTATGAGTGCTATGTACTGGTGGACATCTGAAGAGATGTGCGTTGACAACATCATGCAGCTTGACAGCAACAGCAACCACAGAGTTGGCCAAGTGGGTCGAGGAAGAGGTGCCAGGCAATGCGAAGCCGAAGTCATGGAGTTCCCCAGATTGTCAGGAGCCATGGAGCCGCGATGCCCAGGATTTCCATCTACCCTCAGCCTTCCTCGGTCAGAAAAAGCTCGGATGATTTCTTTCCGGACCTTGTCCGCTGGATGTTTGCAGGAAATCTTGTTCTTGCATAGCTGACGGCTACCCGTCAACGGGTCCGGGAGGGCCCAGTGACAAAGAATAGTCATGCAATTTCCTGCAGTATAACAGCTTCCAACACAGCACCCCTCAATTCTACTTAGCTTGCCACCTGAAGCTTTCACAGCCAACCCCAGCCCGCACCTCCACACTTTGCACCACCTCAGCCGCGGAAGTTAGCCTGTCTTGGATGATCCGCCATGTCCCCTTTCAGCCAAGTGCCCTGCCACCCCCAGTGGCCGCCTTCCTCTCGTCAGCGGCCCCACAGGAGGAGGGAGCTGCCAAAAGGCCTGTTCGAGGGTGTCTTTGCTCGATGTGTTGGTTAAAACGCACAGTAAGATGAGGTTTGGCTTTGCTCAGCTGAACCGAAGGTACCAGCAGTAGGAAGCGCAGAAATCACAGACGCTTTTGTGAATAATGAGTCTACGCAACCAACTGTCACATGCGCCTGCAGATCAGCTGCTCGTATATGCGGCCACCTTTCTGATCAGTCTTGTTCGATGCAAGTACGGCGGTTTTTTCATAGAGCATGTTTATGCATATTACCGTTCGTTTCACTTTGCAAAGACTTCAGGCATTGCTACATTCATGACTTGGCCAGGCATGAGCCCTGCGCAGCGCAAGGTTGTGCGACACCATCCACCAGCACAGATGAGCAGGTTGAGATGGGTTGGGATGCCCTTGGTTTGGTGCAAGTTGAACCTCGCAGCTGCCAGGCGAGGCCCCGACCGAGGCAGGTGCAGATTGAGGCGCCAACAACTCTACTTGTTGTGCTGAGCTATTCCATGCAGAATTCTTACATGAGTTGTTTTGTTGCATGTTGTCTGTTGGTTCCGTGGTGTTTGCAGTCTACTAAGTTCTGACGAGTTTTCATTGACTTGGCTTGGCTAGCTTTGGCCCGTGGCCGCATCCACGTGGATGAACCTTGGTTTGTAAAGACCTAGTTTAGAGCTGAGAACATGTCAAAAAACACGCAATGCCATAATTTCTCGGGGTTGAGAAGAGCAGTATCTATCACTGCTCCTGGTGTTTTGCGATGCAAAATGAAATGGGATGGCACTAGCCTGAGTTTGGCTTCAATTGCAGGCGATGCCTCCCGCAGACGTGGCTGGTGCCTGTCCTTCGCAGGATGGTGGGGAAGTCTTTGAGTTTCGCATGATTCTGCGATAGTCCCCATCACACACAGTAGAATTATGGTAGAACGTCAAGGAACGGAAAGAATCTTCCCTACATTCTTCAGGACCCTATGATGTCCTTGGCCTGCAGAAAGCCTGTGAGGCCTCACCGCTGCCAGAGCCGCCGCCTGCACCCAGACACCCAGGTCTGAAAGTTGCCATGGCAGAGCTCAGGTTGATAGCACATTTTACTGCGGGGCTCAAACTTCGCACTGAATTGATGATGTTGGAAGCTTGGGAGGCTTCTCTGAGTTCTGGCAAGCGGAGGTGCGACAGCCTCTTGGATGGTCTAGAGGCCCTGAAAACATGAAGTCATGCTATTCTGCATTCACTCTGTAGGATTACCGCTTGCGTTTAGGGGCAGCGTACAAGCCAAAGTGTGTACTGCGCGCCGTGAAGAGAAGTTGCAAGGCTTTACGACATCTACCTGCGGGGTAGGCTGGCCGCAATTCTGCGCGCTCTGTTGCCACTGCAAGTGGGTCACTGGCGACAGCTGCTGGACTTTGGCACAGGCCGCATCGGACCACATTGCGTGGCACGCGCAGACGGTTTTGCGAAAGATATTGGTAAGTCCCTGGCCTCTCATAGATTCACCCAAAGTAGAAAACAACATGAAACGACATGTGTGCAGCTGTACAAGATTTGTACAAGTGTACAAGTAAACAAGACTCCGGAGCATACCCCCTGGTGGCATATCAAAGCAGGCTTCCGAGCCTTCGTCTTCGACCCCAACAACCTGGACCCGATCCCCTGCAACCTCCCGTGGGAGACCTTGGAATACGTCTGGCTGCTTCAGCGGCAGTGGCCATGCCCACATTTCTCCCTCGTTCTAAAGCCTCCATGTGCGCGCTCTAGAGCTAGAGCATGAAGAAACACAGCATTGCAAGTGTCGATCAATATTGCCAAATGGATCGCAGGATCTTTCTGATGGAATGCTATGGATGAATGGTCCCAACAATCTGGCGCTAGAGGACTGAACGAGGATTCCTTCCTCCCCAGCAGCCCAGCGCCTAAGGCTCGTGGTCTTCATGGCCTCCAACCCACCGGCAGAACTGGGCAACGCGGAGTCAATGCCACTGTTGTGCCCCAGCAAGATCTTAGAATTTCCAACCTTCCCCGTCGGAGGCACTTTACCGCATACCCCTATTGATGTGGTTCCTTTTTACACAGGTGTCGGTAGGACCTGCCAAACTATGTCTTGTAGAATTGAAGTATCATGATGTTAAATCCCATTCCTGGCCAGTGAGTGGGGCTGAGCACGCAGAGACAGAAACTCTAACTTATTTAGTCCTTGTGAAGGTGGGCCTCCCGACCCTTCACTCAAAACTGTGAAGTCCACCCACCCAACAAACACCGAGAAGTATCCAGCTAATGGCAACAAGATCAATAGTAGTAATTGGGATATGTTGGAATATTGGTAATATTCATATTAGTTGATGAGGTATGTCGAGCTCGCATTGTTTCTGCGGGCGCTTTGCCGGCCTGCTCAGCCTTCCGGTGCTTGGATTATGATAACGGTAAGAGCTTGTAGAGTAGGAGCCGAAATAATGGCAACAATAGCCATCATCAATGCCTCAGCCTTTCAAACTTGCGAACAGGATGTGAATGCCGTTGACAAGCTCTTCCTCTTGCTTTTCTTGTTGCATACATGGGTTTCTCTGCGATTGTTGCATGTGTTGGTTCACTTGTGTGGGCTAGGTGTTTGGCATGTCGGCAGACATTATTATCTCAGACTTGCATTACTGCGATGCAGGCAAGCCCCCAGCCAGTGGCCCGACGCCGGTGGTGCAGTTCCTCGTGCGAATCCTAGGCACGCGCAGCCTCAACTGATCCACGTGCACGTGAGCTGCTTTGACAGTCTTGCAACATGTCATGTCGTAGACGCCAGCTGCCAACCCAGCGGCAGGTTCCCGACACAACTGCTTGGGCCTTTCTCGGAAGTTGATGGTACCGGCCTTGTGCATGACCGTCAGGCCGTCCTCCAATGGCCCACTTCCTGCGTTCAGCCGCCAAAGAGCGGGAAGAAGTCCCAAGCAGTGGGCACAGCTGCCAGGCAAGAAAGAGCACGCAATGCAAAGGAACCTCACCGGGATGAATGATTAAGATGTTTGTTCTTGACGCGTTCTTGCTCGATTAAAGGTGAAACGGGGAAACCCAAGCGTGATCAGTCGGGGCTGCAAGGATTTGAATCGTCCAAGCTCATCCCTTGTATAACACCCTCCTCCCCACACCCTCTCCGCCCTTCCTTACAGCTGTGCTTTAACGCTTCCCTGCAGCAGGCGTGGGCTGCTTCCTGGCAATCATTGGAACTGGAAGCTGGGATCCATGTCAGGTCCTGACCGGACTAGGTACATGTCGTGGTCCCTCTGGGGTGGTACTTGCAGTGCCTTTGGTGTGCAGTACAGCACATGACATGCTGGGCTGTAATATCTGAGGTTGCTCTTGAAGCTGCTTGGAGGTCTCAGGGGGTCCACGTCCTCCAGTCTTGCAAGGCACTTGCCCGCCAACAGCTCTTGTTTTTGGGTAGACGCTTGCGCCAATACAGACGGGTTCAAGCAAGAATGGCCGATGCCAATTCCAATGCTTCAGCTTCAGGCAGTCTTGACCCAGCTCTACCCTGCCGATGACGGCCAAAGCAGCGCGAAAAGCGCGCCGGGGCAGAGGTGGCAGAAACGCTGTGAGAGGTCCTGCTGAATTTCTGAGTACGAGTGTCATGACGCAAACGCTTATGGTCTGTAACTGTAGTATATTGCAGAGATTGGTTTGCAGAATCATCTTCTGGAATTGGAACTCTTGCGATGTTTGGTGCTACACTAAATCTGAACTCATGAGCTGTTGTACATGTAGACCTTCCGCTGGACCTCCTTGAGCACGACGCTCCCCAGACTAAGCCTGCAACAGTGGCAAACCGCCTTGCAGGATTGGAGTTCCAACGCTTTTTGCGGCGGCTGCCCTGCAGCTTTCTGCACAGGTATTTTCAGGCCAGGCGGTGGTTGTCAGAATTGGAGGGTGTGCCGGTGTGCCAGACAATGCAGCGCCTAGATTCCAAGATCTCTAGCCTTTAAACTCAGGCCTTCCTCTGAATCAGAGCGATTGCCGAGCGCGCTCTTCGCCATCTTCGGCTGCTTGCAGCAACGGCTCGCGGAGGCTCAGTTGTTTTGCGCTGCTTAGGACTTGTTCATCGCTACATCCGAGGTCCTTATGCTTGCGAGTGCTCATGAAGTTGAGGAGGAATGCGACCAGACACAGCTACAACCCATGACAGCACCAACTAGAGGTATTGATGTTGCCTGTTGTAGTCCCGTGCATTCTCCGGCCATCGTGCTGCAAAAGGTCAGTGTCTCCAACGCACATGCCCTCCATGTACACCCCGACCGAGTCAGGCCACTCCCACAGAAATGGGCAGGTCTTACAGCATAGGTCACCCTTCTGGACTCTTGCACGAGGATCCTAATTACCGTTCTAGGGGTCGTGTTTTGGGGGACAGCTCTGCGAGGCACATGACATGTCTATTGCATACCCAAAGGCGTGAATGTGGTTAACAGCTTGAAATAAACAACGGGGTGTGGTTTCGTTCCTGTTTCTGGCCTACCAGAATGCTTTGATATGCAATCGACAGACTCTTTTCAAGTTTGAGGTGATGCGGAGCCCGATGTTGTCCGCCAGCCCTCCCTGGCTGCGACGGTGCTCCAATGCAGTCGGGCCGCCGCTCGGCAGAAACGGAACTATGCTCGTACCGGTGTTGGGATTTTTCCAGCACGGAACTCTTTCGCACAAGATCGTCACGCAAGGAATCTCCAACCTTCAGGCCCCAAGTCGTTTTCTGAAGCAGTTAGCATTGGCAGCATGTGGTGGCGAACCCCAGCTGTTGCGTGCACATGCCTCCATGGCCGCTTCAGGTGCGCTACACCACTGCCTCTGTGGGTCCGGTTGACCGTTTCCTGCTTTGTTTGTATGATGTCCTGGAGATCTGTGAAGAAGACCCGGCATCTTGGTTTCAGAGCTCTTGAGGTCCCAAATCTAAAGTGGGGAGGGTTTCTGTAGACTGAGGCAGGGGAGGTCTCGGAGCCTTCGGCACCTGACCCTGAGCCTCTGGATATTCGTGTGCTGGGCCGTTTGGCCCGGGTCATCTTGCAGGCTGGCCGGAAGGTTTCTCTTATGCAGGAAGGGGAGGTGGAGAACTTGGGCCATTGGGAAAAGGCAAGCTGAAAGTGCAACGCAAAGTTTCTGAGTGAACAGGTTGATTTCCCACATGAGAGGCGCCTGAGTGTTAGCTTCGATAGATTACGCAACATACCTGAGCTGCACCTCCTGCTAAAAATAAGTCACTCAGTTTGGAAGGTTGAATGCCTGACAAACCTGACGAACAACTGCTAAATTGACAGTCGCGTGTGCGCACTTAGCCGGATCAACAGCCGCGGAGGCTTCCAGGTTGCGGCCTGCAATGATACTTTGGTACCAGGTTACCAGGAGCTTTGCCGCTGCTCGTGGAAAGCACGAATATATTATGATGAACGAAGCGCACGTCAGGAAAACGGGTACAAGGCAGGAAAAAGAAACGCACCTGTCCGGAAAAAGCAGAGGCATGAGTCAAGAAAAACGACGCGGCACGAGTGAGGAAAGCAAAAAGAACGAGTCAGGAAAAAGATCGCGAGTCAGACGCATGTTGACACCATCCCCTAGGATGTGGCAGAGAGGGAGATATAGGTACAGACATGTTGAAATCTCATCTTGACTTGCGATCAGTAGCAAAATGACAGAGGGAAAGCCAGGTACACACACACACACATTATGTTGACATACGTTGACGACGGCCCCTTTCCACCTGGACCTTGCGACACGTGGAATGAAGTGACAGGGGAATTCATGTTGAACCTCCCCAAACCACAAGGACCTCAGGAAAATAGAAATCAGGGGCCCTCGATAAGGGCCCTCAGCCTCCCACGGTTCTGAGGTCCCTGTGGGTTGATTTTAAAGGGAGAGTTGTGAATCTTTCCTACGTTTCGAGGGCCCCTAAAACCAAAACAAATTAAAGCGGCCCTCAAATCAGTACACTTAACCTGAATATGCTGGCCACAGAACACATTAAAGCGACCCTGAAGGCAAAACAGGGTCCAACCACCCTTCCGTTTTCACCATGCACAAAGAGGAGTGAAGTTACGCAGGTAAAGTGAACAATGAGGTGAAAAGCCAGGTACACACACACACACATGTTGCAACCACCCCTTTCTCGCCTAGCGATAAGAAGAATGAAGCCCAGGCGCAAATGTGAAAGCCACCACCTTTTCATCCTTTGATAATAAAAACGCGACAGAAGGAATGCCAGGTACATGTAGAAGGCCAGGTACACATGGTACACACATAGTTTCAACTTGATGAAAACCCTTTCGGTTGAGTGGGTTGATAGGACTTACGGTCATTGTTTGCTGCATCAGGAAGGGGATTTTGGTGAGGTTATTGGTTGTTTCTTGGGATGTCTGATGCTACGAGGCCTCTTCTATATCAGATCTTGCTGTCTCAGCAGTTATGCGAGGAACTACTTCACGCAATTCACCAATGCGCCAGGGATCTGGGGAGAAGAGGAATAGTTCTTAGTTTTGAGTCCTTTCCGGCCGCTTGGGAGGATAGTGTTCAGAGGTTTTCTTTGTCTTCCGGTTGGGCGTAGGGGGCTCCCCAGAACCTGTCTTGGTAAGCTTAGAAGTCTCTTTCGAGATTTGCCTGAGAAGCTTTGTTGTGGGTTCAGCATGCAGAGCGGAGCTCGTGTGCTAGCTGAGCTAATCGTCCACGTGCGGGCCTCAGCTCAAAAAATGAAAACCCGTTTTCGCCCGGCAAAAAGTCAGTAGAAAGAAATCACAAAGGGACAGCCAGGTACAGACAACGAAAAACTGCCCCTTTTCCACCTTGTTGGTGAGCTTTTCAAACAGTTTGCAGAGGATTTAGGCACTTACCTAAGGGTCTAGGAGGTCAGCTGCCTGACGTCTTTCCTTTTCCCCGATTTACGCCGTTCTTTGTCCCGACACGCGTCTTACCTTTCTCTCGACTCACGCTTTATCCTTTTCCCGACTCATGCCTCTACCCTCATATGATGACATGTGGAGACTGCAGCGATCCTGCACACGCATCAACGGAACCATGCACTGGTGAGGACATGTTGTGCAAATATGCCCCAAAAGAGGCGGCGATTTTGTGTCAGATGCCAAGAAGGGCTTGGAAACCTTTCAGGGTTGCTAGTTTCTGTGGAAGGCGGTTGGGAGCCCTTTCATGTAAAGCCCCCTGCCAGAGTTGTCGAAATGGCACGTGCCCGTGGAAGGCCTTCTTCATCGACCCAGCTATCCTGGCAGCTGGGAACAGGGCTCGCGCATCCAGTGCTGCGCCAGGCCGACAAGCAATCTACGTTTCTTGGGGTTCCAGTGTTGACCCCGAGTCAGGAGAGCCGCCAAATTCCAAACAAGCTCCCTTGATGGCAGGTGCCGCAACAGGAAGTGATAGAACAAGCGGCGATAGCAGCAGCAACCGCAGTCAAAAAGACGTGTACACCACATTGAATACCAATTACACAGAGAAATTCCATCCTGCACTGCGACAACATATAAAGCCTACTGTACGGCCTAAACTTGCAAATTTGCCGTATTTGCTTGCCCGGGACTTTGGCCAGGCGAGTGCTGCAGTCCACACTTACATGCGCCAGATCCGGGCGTACTCGCAGGGAACACGGGAAGACGGCATGTGACTGTCGACAGGCCTTCATGCTTTGGCAGCTGGTTCTTTCTCGGGACCCTCTGACCCAGATGAGCTCCTGATCTCAAAGCCAGGTTGTTGGTAGCCAGGGTGAAGAAGGGGGGTGTGCACTGGTCTTAGTGTTTGGGATTTCACGCTCAGGCTGTCTAGGTGTTGAGTACAGCGCCAGCGCTGGATAAGGAAATCCTTTCCGCGGTCCGGGGTTGTCTGGGATTCTTTTCTTTAAGGCGCTTTCGCGAGTAAAGTTGAGGGCATCCGGCGAGTCAGGGTAGGCTGGTTTTCTTCAGTTTTCTTATTGAGGCCACCTGGCTCAAGAGAGGTCTCAGGATCGGCCGTAGAGGTGCCTCCAGGGTCTTCAGCCTGATCCAAAGCACGAAGCAGCTCAAGATAAGAAAGCCAGACTCTAGGATTTCCTTATTTTCTTAGTTTTTGGGAAAGGCAACCCTGGAGGCCTGATCCGGTGGGCAAGTTTGGGCAGTTGGAGGTTCGGAGTCTGGGACACCAGGGCGAGAGTACTCTGGTTTTCTTAGTTTTTCTTATTGTAGTCTTGCTGCATTGCTTGGGCTTTCGGGCAGTGGGCCCTTTCCAGAGCCGCTTTCTTATTGCAATGTTTTCTTCAGTAGTGCGGTCACCGTACCCGATCTCTGGAACAATCAAGCGTAGTACGGCGATGGTTTCGGGAGCAAACTGTTCGAGATGATGAGAAATTTGCGCATTTGCTGCTAGCTACCAGTCATCTTGATGAGTCTCGGCTTGGTGGTCTATGAGTTTAGGATTTGATGCTAGAGGCCAACAGCAAGCATGGAGGCAGGGTAGGCTTGGTCTTGGCCCTCCAGGTTTGTGCCGATCTCCGAGTCAGGTCCACTGCGGAGGACCTGGCATTTTCATCAGAGAAGAAGGGCTGCGTCCCCAAACCCTTGCTGATTTATGACCCATACAATCATTCAGCTTATCGTGGCTAGCGAGAGCAACTTGCAGATGGAAGCAGGCCATTACAGGAACCTGCCCCCATCAAATCCTGCAGGGCTAGCGTGCAGCGCTAGAGTCTTTTTGATCAAGCCTGAAATCTGCTAGAAGGGCCCAGTGCAGGCCGCAGGCAGGGCAGGTGTAGGCTAGTAGGTTCCTACAGCATCAAGGAGCCTAGCCTTCATGGAGCAGTCTCCACTTCTGCACACTTGTCCGCAGTGTTATCAAAGGATTCTGCTTTTGCTTCTGAATCGTGGAGGGATCTCAAGCCAGGCAAGATGCTGACGGGTATCGCGGAAACCAATTTTTTCGCCAAAAAAAATTCGTATTGTTGTAGTTGCCGGTCATGCCTTACTGCTACGAATATTCTCTGCTTAGCTTATCTGAATTACTACCATTACTGTCGGGATGTCAGCTTAGGCAAGTGGTGCAGCGGCGGCTGTGCTCTGCGCACTTTGATGATGTCGAAGGCACCACAGAGCAGCTGACGCCATCCCGACAGATTTGCCGTGTAGCGGTCATCTCGACGCGTGATCCAATAGTTACACTGCAACGTGTAACACTGTCAGAAGATGGTTTGTTCATGGGCACTGTTTTTTCAAACCGTCAGAAGTCCAGGATCACAAATTCTAGTCTGTTGCCCTACCATGGAGCTTCTGAAGCCGTTCTTTCACTTAAGCCGCAGCCAGGTACTTTGCTTTGCGGGCCCTGCGGGTGTTGTGGTTTGACCTGCGCAGGCCTTCATTTGCATTCTTCTTACCGAGTTCGGGCATCTTGTTTTGACGGTACTTGGCTGTGAGATCCCTAGCGGCCCTACCTGTACGTGTGTATGCAGGCTGCGCAGGTGTGAAAGTGTTGGGCAGTGAGCCAGGCCAGTCGCAGGTGTACCACAACTGAGTAACTGAAACTGGCTGGAGGGCAAAGCAAGCAGCCGCAGCTGATTCGTGACTTGGACACCTGCAACAACGAAAACGGCAACTCTGCACAGGCAACTCAGGCAGAGCCGTTGCGGCCACATTCCACAGCATAGTAGTTCTCAGCCGTCAGAATCAATTGCAGTTGAATTCCTAAACATCAGAGCCCCGGGCAGCAAACCTAGGACTCGGTCTGTGTTGTAGGAAGTGAGTCCAACTGCTAAGTGTTGTGTGCGGAACCACGGCAGCGAAAGTCATAGGGTCATCTCCTTATAAGCATCGCGCATTGTGTGCTTACAAGTGGATGACCAGAGAGGTCCACCTGCACCCTGAAACGTTGCGAGTCAAACGAGGCTGTCTCGCCCTGGCCCCAGCATCCGGGTGCATGCATGAAGACTGCAGGTGACCTTCATGCAGACACAAAGTACTTGCTAGAGTTCTTGTATGGTCAGAAGGGCTCGGCAGTGGCACTGGTAGAGATGACCAGACTTCCAGAGAGGCGCTCGAACACAAAGGTCCGCATCAAGAGACCCCAAGACCGGCTCACAAAGTTTGACGTAGCCCTGATCTCTACCTGTGCTGGACCCTACCGAGGCAGATGACCCTACTGATGAAATCCCTGAAGCTGCAGCTCAGCTGCGACTGCGATGCCGAGCTGGCTGGTTTCCCATACATCCGCCTGGCCTGTGGCGCTCAGGCGCACTGACTTCATAGTTTGCTCGGCTTTTGCTGCGGTCTCTATGCTAGTCAGGCATTCTCGGTGCTTACTTCTGGTTGCTGGTGAATGACTATACCGTATGCCAATTTCGTGATGCCTAATATGGCCGGAAGCAATGGCGCAATGCCCCTGAAAGGTGACGGTAAAAGGGGTCGTCATTGCGATCGTTATCTCTGCCAGCACCGACGGCGTGCAACTGCAATCCGTGGACGTCATCGTGCCAGACCTGGAGGTGAAGCTGAGCCACACAGATGCAAGAGGGTTCCTCCGGAGAGGCCCCTCTAAAGTGGGGTGCTCCCTTCTTAAGCCCAAAGCATCAAGGCCAAGAGCTGACGACAGCTGCCACTGTCGTTGTGTTAGGTCGGGTGTCACGTGCTCGCCTCTATTTGGTGATGAGGGCTGATCCGTTTTTCAAATGCAAGCAGGATAACCGATAGTACTAGGCAGGTTGTAGGGGTGACAGGGTGTTGAAGGTGTTCAAGGTGTTCCTCCTGGCGCGGATAAGAAGTAAACCATGACATTTAAGGCTTTAAGATTTAATAGGGTGGCGGGCCAGTTTTCTACAATTATTGAGTGCAGCTTTGGAGGCAAGCCCAAGCAAAATGCAGTTCGTAACGAAAAGCAGATGGATCTTAAGAGTACGTGCTCTTGGCTTGTGGGAGTTTCTTACAATAATTACTATAGTCCACGCGGGGCCTTCTAGAGAAACCCCCTATGACAGGGGCTTCCAAAACTTAAGATTCCCTCTTATCATGAAAACTTTAACGCTCCATTAGAGTCATTAGAGATCTCCGAGGCGATGCGCCGCTACTTTCAAGGCCGTTGTTTGGGCTGAAAGCTGTGGTCACCCTCTCAAGTCTATATAGGATTATTTTGCGAGCGCTTAGGGAATTGTCAGCTATCAGGGCTTGAGGGAGAGGTTTTGGGGCGTTGGGTCTCTGGACTTTCGGCTGCCTCGACATTTGAAGATGGATATTTGCCCCATGCTCTCATTGAGAAGGCGGGGAGACAGTTAGCCGACAGACTACGCTTTAAGGCGTCCCATTCTTCCAGAATGGGAGCCAATTTATTTGCAAAGATTGGACTCAGATGTTCGCATGGTTTTCCCACCGATGACCGGATGCGGACATTCAAATATGATTTTGAGTCACTGGCAGGATTGCAGTCTCTGCAGTCCTGGCAATATTTCAGGCGACGCTGCAGGACTGTAAGAGGCGTTGATGTCTCGCATGTGATTGCCCAAACGGGTGCTTCGCATTTTGGGGATGATGAAGGGTTCCCGGCTTTTGGTTCTAAGGTTCTTGCTCTCTTCTCCTTGGGCAGTTCCAAGTCATTTGCACCAGGTGTCATGCATTCCAGGCCACCCAGCAGCAGACGTAGTGAACTGGTGTGCTCAGGCATTTAGTCCCGAGACTTGCTGCTTTTATCAGAGAGGCAGGGGCCAAGGCCTATCAGGCTTCGCACGATGGTTACTGTTATCAAGTAAACGGCATTAAGATTAAGTCATTGCCATTCTGACTTGTATGACCGCAGCTTTGCTCGCAACGTCCCAGGGTCTGGCAAAAATTTGGCATGGCAAAGCAGGAAAGGCTGCAGCAGCTGGAGTCTCTTATCAAGCGCGTGAGGCGCAGCCAGACGGTGACGCCAGGCGAGGCTGCAACTATTCAGCGAGAGCTGATTGGTTTGGCCAAGAGGTGTTGGCCAGAAGACGAGGATGATGACGAGGAAGAGAATGATGCAGAGACACAAAGCTTCGAGCGCTTGGAGGAGGTGCTGCTGAAGCTGCCTGCTGGTGACCAGGAGGCTGTTGTGGCTGCTTTTCGGCCTCTCCGCGCATGTGTTTCTCGGCGCCTGGCGGAGTGGACGAACGCCCTGAACGACTGGCTGAGCGAGGCGGGCCAAGTACAGGCACAGCATCTTGGAGACCTCCTGCGCGAAGTGGACAGCTCCCCGCAATCTCGGTGGTACCGTCAGTGCCCAAAGCCAAGGGTAAAAGCCAAGTTTCTGATGGCCATAGCCAGCCTTGCACGAGCTTTGATACGTGGCAGCCCCCTAGTGAAGCCGCTAATCGCTTCCCATCCAGCCGTGTTATCTCTGGCAAAGAAGATTGTCAGCAGGCTGTTCGTTTTGCCTGGATATGGGGATTCGCTTGAAAGGTGGCATGACGGCAGGCTGGCTGTCTACAATGCGACGATCTCTTTGGCGGCGCAGCGTGCGGCAGACAAACTGAAGGATGACTTGCAGGTGTCGCTTGTGTCGGCGGTGAAGCGCTCGGCAAATCCGGCTTCGACAGAGGATGGCAAGGCGAAAGTGGCCCTTCAGTTGCAACTCCGAGACTGGCCGATGTCAGGGTGCCCTTTGGCCCGTGCTCTCTTGGAATTCCTGAAGTCGCGGGCAGCCGAACTTGGGGACCTGGGACGACCCAGCCTCCGTGAGTGTCCCCCACATGCACTTCAACCAGAAACCTTGCGGAAGCTCCTCTCGCGCCTGGATGCTTTTGAGATGGGCGGGACAGATGGAATTGTGCGACTCAGATTCGAGGCTGTGGCAGCCTTGGCTTTCAAGGCAGTGGGGACGAAGCCAAAGGCGAGCACCGTGGCTCCACCCACTGCAACCAAGAGTCAGATGGCTGCAGCGCAGCTGGCGCAAGGACCGCCCGTGGCGCAAGCTGCGAAGACAAATCACGAGGGTCTTCCGCAAGACATGTCAGACCTCAAGATTGACTTCTCGGACGTCACTCTTATGATCCGGATCATCAAGCGGGGCCTGCGCTCCGGAGACGAAGAGTGGCGCCAGGCTTGGTCGCAGTTTTGCTGGAAAAGAGACTTGCGTTCCAAGCTTTCTGTCAGAAACAAGATCAGCCCGCCAAAGGAGGCTTTGGCTGCCTTCTTGGAGGCCAACCTCCCTAAGCTGCGGTCCTCTTTGTGGGACCCTTCCTTAGCTTCCCGGTCCCGCTCCGACATGGCTGAGCGGCGCCGGCGCAGGGAGCCGCGTGAGCTCTCTGAGTCCTGGTCTAGCTCATGCTCCGAATCAGACCGCTCCCGGCGCAGAAAGAAGAGGCGCAAGGAGAAGAAGAGTGGCCTCATGGGCTATGCTGACTTCTTTAACTCCAAGTCTAAGCACATGACCCCAGAGGTTATGATGATGAGAGCCCAGATGATGGGCTTCTCCATGGTCATGGACAATCCTTTGGCAATGATGGGCATGCGAACTCCAATGATGACGCCCTCAATGACCCCGATGCTGCCGCGGCCAGAGGCCCCACCTGGCCGGCCCTACGGACACGGCGGCCACAGCCAGCCGATGGCGCCACTTCCGCCACCACCGCTGCAACCGACCACAGCCCCTGCGCCCGCCGTGCCAGCACCAAGCACAGCTCCGCCAGCACCAGTCCCTACCAACAACAAGCCGCCTTTGCCCAAGTCGGTTGTGGCGGCTGCACGGAAGCAGCAGGAGTCGACCATTGACATGGACGATCTCTGAGGCATGGACGATCTCTGAGGGCCCACAGGCATTTCACAATCTTTGGGAGTGATGCTGGTTCACCACAATGCGAAGCCCTTTTTCGTGAGCTTTGCGCCGATTTACGAAAGGTATGAGGATCTTCCAAGTTGCAGCGAGCATGCATCGCATAGGTATGGTGTCTGCCCGCAGGCTTGGGTTCACAATCATGTCTCACCAACAGCTAGAAGTGCTTGTCAAATTATTGTTTGTCTGTCTGTGCACGGTTGTCACATGCTTGTCAGAGTTGGCGTGTTCGGGAAAGCAAAAGAGCGCAGAAATGAGCCGCCCGCTTGTAGCGAAGTCCATTGCTGAGGCGGCGCAGATACTCGCGTGGGAATTTGCTCGTGTCCTGAAAATTCTTTAGGAGCACTTACAGCGGCAGCTGCAGCGCATCCTGAGCCGCCTGCTGGAGCGAGAGTTGGGCAGGCCGGGATGCTGCAGGTAGTTTCCCATACCGACTCTGCGCTGGTGCAGTGGTGCAGTTGCATCTCTTTTGCTGTTTGCTGCGAGGTGGAACGCGGGCACTTGGGACTTTCTCTGCCGGGTCATTCCACATGATCTGATGGATGAAGCTCTGACCTGGCTGCTTGAGCACATTCCGCCTGAGGGCATTCCTATCTAGCTTCTGACAGTTTTAGGACAGAAGCTTGGAATAGCTCGGCTTCTGCTTGCTAACGGACCCCGCCAGCAAGTTTCCTCAGAAGGTCGCTGCCTAGCATTGTCATACCCAATAGATACCGCAAGGAGGGGCAACGCAAGAATGTTCATCCTCGGCTTGCAGACTTTGCAGCGACGGCAGGAGGCAACATGCTGCGCAAGCTGCGACAAAGCAAAAGGAGGATAGGTGCCTGCATGCTCGTGCATAATCTACTGCGCGCTGCTAGGGATCCAAGCGCACAAATAATACCTACATTGGGCCCTAAAGTCTGTAAATGATACCTACATTGGGCTATTTGGATCCCTGCCCTCAACCCTACACCGGACCTGTGTCTTCATGTCACGGGCCATTTGCATGAACAGAAACTGCCATCCCACACAGGTACTTCGACCAGTCTTGAGGACCACCGCGACAGTTGGAATGGCTCAAGAGCCATTATCATTATTCTATTTCATCCCAGTATTATTACGATTGTTACTATATAGATATATATGCATTACTATCATTATACTGGTATTATACTACTATATTATTACTATGTCAAATGCACAGCAGGCTCAGCTTATTTCAGCCCTGGTATTATTTGAGTTTGGCCCTCAAGGGGCTTCTCAGGCGAGGGAAGCTCGTTGCAAAGCAACCAGAGCTTGAGCATTGATTTGTTTGAGTTGATCTTTCATATGGACCCCAAGGTTCCATGCAAACCGGCAGCGATTGCCTGGTGTCTTTCTATGTCTCGTCTAGTTGTTTTGCCTTCCTGCCGACCTGTCTGCAACATGAAGTGTGCCAAATTAGTGATGCTTCGCATATCTGGCGGCACATACGACAAGAAAAAGTTGACCTAGGCATACCTCCATGACTTTGCATGGAGCTCGGGGTCTGTCAAATTTGACAGGATGGGACACAATTCTTCAATGCGAGGTGCACGACGAAGGTTTTTTTGGCTTACCTAGGTTAAGATATCGTGAAGGCCATGAGTATCTTTTCATTCAGCTCTCATCAAGGAAGGCTCGGAATTCAGGTCCGCACGAAGCAGTGCCCAGCATTGCAATTCTGACTCTGTAAACGCCCCGTCTCATCGACGTGCCTCTGACGCGGTGCCGGCTGCCGGTGAAGCCGACAGCATCGAAGACGGCATAGTGGCACGGGGAAAATGGAGAGCAACACAATTTCGGTCTTCATCATGCAGATGGAGTATCTGTTTGCCGGTTTGACCGTTGTGAATGCTCAGCCAGAAGCGTGTCCAATGCTTGCAGCTATTTCTAAGAAGGTGCGGTAGAGTTTCAAACGCAGCGCCTGTGATTGCCTGCCGAGCACTCGCCCCAGAAGCGAGGACTCATTTAAGTGTCAGACAACTTGTGAGACCTCAAGGCCATGAGCCTAAGCGCCTTCGTCGGACTTCCAAATCAGCCTGCCGTGAACGCGCCAGCAGTCATCTCGAAGGCTCAGGCGCAGACGTGCTCGTGGCATCGTCAAATCTTTGTCGCTTTCTCACCAGCTCAGACGAGCTCAGCATAGCTCAGCTCAGGCGCAGTCGGTCCAGAGTGATGTCCATGGATTAGGTGCAGGGCCACTCGGTGGCACTTGCCTTGTTTGCTAAGAGCAGCACCCGAGCTGCAATTTCTGAGGGCCGGAATTTGCCTTGCCTCTGCTGGGGCCGTGGCTGCACGCAGCCGCGCGCGGAAGGCAGGGAAGGCCAAGGTGGCAAGGGCGGCGGAGTCACGGACAAGGCTGGGACAGCTTTGGGACCTCTTTCAAAGCCTCTTTGCGCTGACGAAGCAGTAACGTTGCCAGGACGGTGAACCCTGCGAACAACGAACCGGAAGATCCCAGGGACTTCCCGAAACCGCCCATGATCGACAAGACGGCCGCTGTCCTGCACAGGCTTGAATATGCATTGGGGAAGTTCGCGAGGTGCCAGGGTTGACTTCCATTGCTCACGCGACTATTCAGGGTGGCTGCGTGGCTGCTTCCCAAGGATAATTACAGAGAAGGCGAGGCGCTGTCGCGCAAGATCGCTGGATTGAAGGGCAAGGGCGAGTCCAAATCCGTGGCTTGACTGTGCGTGTTTTTCGATTCTCATTGTTGCTTGCCTTCTATCATGAGTCTGTTGAGAAACCTGCCCAACCGATTGTGAAGGTGGCCATCATCGGAGGCGGTCTCTCAGGTGCGTGATTGGGAGTGTTTCCTCTGCGAGGTACTCGTGCTCATGCTTAGGCTCCCTGTCTGGGACACAACCTCAAAATTATGTGGATCCTGTAGCGACTGTAGTAGTTCATGTATGCAAACCTGTGGATCCCTTCACTGGCAATTGCAAGATCCCGTTGGTGAGGTACCAAGGCGATGAAGATCCTAGTAGTTGCAGGGAGATGCCCTGACGAGGCCTCGCCTGTGCCAAGTACTTGGTGGATGCCGGCCACAAGCCCATAGTCCTCGAAGCTCGCGACTGCCTAGGTGTCCTGGCAAGAAAAAATCTACAGGCAACTCATTGGCCAAGTTAGGCCTCGTAATAAGGCAAATGTCCGTCAGGAAGACTGCATCCCCATGAGGATGAAGACCTGCACGCTCAAAAACTTTCCATGGATTGCGGCAACGGGGCTACTGAGGTGGCAAGGTCTCTGCATGGCAAGACAAGGATGGTGACTGGGTCGAGACAGGCCACCTGAGACCATAGGTCCTGCATCTCTGAGTCTGAATTTTGATCAGGATATTGGGAACCTTAGTAAAGACATGAACTTCTCAACACATTGTGGGGTGCAAAGCAATCAGTTATGATCGTTCTTGCCGGCTTCGGGCTCTGGAGGCTTGCACATCTTCTTCGGCGCCTACCCGAACATGAGCCCCAGCTGTGATTCCAAACTCGCACTCGCTGCTACATGTAGACTGCAAAGCCTTACCTTCTGACTGAAATCAGGATGAACCTGTTCAATGAGCTGGACATCGAGGAACGCTTGCAGTGGAAGCGCCACCAGATGATCTTCGCAATGCAGGCACCTAGCTGAGGGCCTGCATCAGTCCTCCATCCCCGAGCCGCTGTAAGCCTTGTCAGTGTCATTCACCTACGTTCTTGCTTCTTGGATTACGCTTACCAAGCGTTTGCCTCCCCGACTTCCTGTTGAACACCTGCACTGTGATAGCTTGCTGAATGGACTGCAGGACACCATTGACTGCTTGAGCTGCCTTGGATGGCTTTCAAGTTAGGCGTTGCGGTGACAAGTAGCAGTGCTCACCTTGCTTTTCATCTTTGTCCCAAGCATCTTTGTCTCATAAACATACTTGCAAGCAAATTTGGCTCCTAGCTTGCCGATTTGACACGCCAAAGGTGTGATTCTAGGCAAACATGGCTAGGACGGGAATGACGATGCACTTCGAGGAAGCGCCTGAGAAGGAGGATGCGGAGAATTTGCTGGAGCCGCAGTCAGATGCCCCGACCGCGCGCACCTTGCGCTTCAGCTGGGCTGCACGCGCTCGTTGGCTTTTGCTGGGAACTGGCGTGACAATGGTGATGCTGATGTTGGCTCCACACAACTCCGCCACGTTCCTGGCTGGAGTCAGCTCGGATGCCTTCGGGGCACTGCGCAGTGAACTGGAGCACCAACAAATCCCAACAATCGGCATGGCCTTCGACAACAAGGCGGCTGGGAAGGTGCTTTGCGTCATTGACGTGGCACAGTCAGTTGGCCGCATCATGGGCCTAGGCGCATTCTCCAATGCAGCCTCCACTCAGTGTGACTATGGCAGGATCGCGCGCATCAACAAGAGGCCAGTGACGAACAGGGAGAAGCAGATTTGTGCCAGCAGCGTCTTCGGTATCATGCTTCAGACTGAGCTGTTGATTGGTGCTATGGCTTCCTCAATCTCCA